TGTCCTGCTTTTCACCAGCATATCATCGACATAGGCCTCCATGGTCCGTCCAAGTAAAGGCCTGAACAATTTGTTGACCATCCTCTGGTAGGTCGCCCCTGAGTTTTTCAACCCAAAGGCCATCACCTTGTAACAGTATGTCCCATCCGGGGTGAGGAAGGCCGTCTTTTCCTCGTCATCTTCCGCCATGAAGATCTGATGATACCCTTTAAAGGCATCCATGAAACTTAGCAGCTCACACCCGGCGGTTTCGTCAACCATTTGGTCCGGGCTGGGGAGAGGATAAGAATCCATAGGGCATGCCTTGTTGAGGTCTGTGTAGTCTACGCACATCCTCCAGGTATCACCCTTCGGAGCCAGGACTACATTGGCCAGCCATTCAGGGTAGTTTACTTCCCTGATATGACCTACCTCAAGTAGGTCCTTGACCTCTTTCTTCACAAAATCCCTCCTATTACTTGCCAAAAATCTCTTCTTCTGTCTTACAGGCCTTGACCCCTCAAGAACAGAGAGATGATGGCAAATGACTGACCGGTCAATTCCGGGCATATCAGCAACACTCCAGGGAAACAAAGATTTATACATGGTCAGAACCTGGACAACCTCAGTCCTTAGCTCTCCCTGAAGATCAGCCCCAATTTTGACCTTCCTCTCAGGATTGGATGCATCAATCTGGATCTCCTCCGTGTTTGCATCCGGCTCAATCCTAGCCTTCTCCTCTCCCTTGTCTACTTGCTGGGATACCAAATCAATTTGTTCGAATTGGCGGCTCATTTTCTTGACTGCTTCCAAGTAGCAGGACCGGGCGTTCTTTTGATCACCCCTTTCCTCCCCGATTCCATTGGGAGTGTAAAACTTCATGCATAAGTGTGCCATGGAAATAATAGCCCTGACCTGGTTGATCCCAGGCCTACCCAGAATGGCATTATGCACACACTTGATGTCGACCACAACAAATCTCATTTGTTTGGTCACTGTCCTGTTACCTGACCCCATAGTAACTGGTAAGGTGATCTGACCTTCTGCTTCTATGCTGGCTCCAGTGAAGCGTGACAATGGGATTTGCAATGGCCTCAGCTTGGACCTGTCCAGCTTCAATTTCTTGAAAGCATCCAAGTACAGAACATTGACACTGCTTCCTGTGTCAACCAGGACCCTAGCCACATCAGCCCCGTTGATGTCCATTGTAATGACCAAAGGGTCATTATGATCTCCCCCTGTCCTGGGCAGATCCCTATCAGTGAAAGTGATAGGTTCCCTCCTTGCCTGCTTCCCATGTGACTCCAGGGAAAGCACAGCCACGTGCAAGCTCCTGGACCAGTTCTTTCGCTGGGAGGCAGTATCCCCGCCTTCTAGGCCGCCGACAATCATCTGTATGAATTCTTTATCCGGATTGTTGTTATCTTCCCGGATTTTCTCCTTCCCTGGTCTTTTCCCTGATGTCGGGTCCAGGTGTTCACTTTCGGGTCTTTCTTATTACCCGTCGCGTAACCTTCCCCAAGCTCTCCTTTCAAGGCCATCTCCTTGAGCACACCCTTGACATTTCGGCAATCCGCCGTGTTGTGGGAATCAGATTGGTGGTAGGTACACCACTTCTCCGTCCATTGTCTCTTGGGTTGCTCTCCTTTATTATCATCCCTTATTTGGTGGATGGATCCGTCATATGTAGCCTTTAGTTTGGACCCTCCTGTCTGCTCATCTTTCTTCGGCTTGTCGGATTTCGACTTTGTGTAGCCTTCTTCCAGCTCCCGCTTATTCTTGTTCAGCACTTCTGCCTCGGCATATTCCCATGCCGTATTGTAGGCTTCCTGATAAGAGGAGGGCGGCCTCCTACAGAATTCAGTGTAGAGGTCACCTGACCGGAAGGCATTCATCAACAAAGACATGGCCGTCTTATCGTCCATCTCTTCTACCTTGTCAACCTCGTCCCTCCAGCGGGTTAAGAATTGAGTCAAGGTCTCCTTCTCCCTCTGCCCTACCGTGTTAAGGTAGGTAAA